CCTACCCCGATGCAGCCCTGGGTGCTGGAGCAGCCGTGTGGAGACCCCTGCCAGCGCTGAGATGCTTACACACTCACTCGCCTTTCCTCCTGCAGTCGGCATCATTGTGTCTGTTTTGTGAGATGTAGGCAGACTTTGTGGATTGGTGTCGGACATATGGGTTAATGTTGGACTTGTGGGCTTGGGGAGCACTGGGTTGGGATGTTTTCTTGATGCGCACTTACCCTTTATATAAAAGTCTCTCTTATCCATGCGTCTCTGTGGATTTGTTTCTCTAAAGTCCCCAGACTCACACAGTGGTTGACCCGGTTTGCTTCCTCTGCAGGGTTTAATTCCCTCGTGGGCGGCGTGATGGGCTTCTCTATCCTCCTGAGTGCGGAAGTCTTTAAGCACGACGCGTCAGTGTGGTACCTGGACGGCAGCATCGGCGTGCTCATCGGCCTCACCATATTTGCCTATGGGGTCAAGTGAGTCTCGACCCCATCTTCACTTTCCTCTAGGCCTGGAGCGCCCCCTCTCCCCCACCCCACGCCCAATATGACTCCGCTTGACAATGAAAGTCACGTCCCCACCGCGGCCCCAGGAGGCAGGGGTACCACATCCAGTGCCCGGAGGCGACGACAGCGGGGTTCACAGAGGCAGAGCGTCACTGAGGGGTTGGCCGGGGGTGGCGCTGCCAGTGGTGGGATGGGCACTGGAGACGACAGCTGTTGGATTTCTTTTGCGGGTTTGAAATGAACTTGTTTGTCCCTGGAGACCCCCCCCCCGGCCCGCTCCAATGGGGCTTTTCCTCCTTTATCAGACCAATATTTAGATCTCAGGAGTAAGGAATCTGGAAGGTTCTTTGTTTCTTTTTGAGGCAATGAACGTGCCCGGAAGTTGGGACCCCCCTGACGGTGACAGGCCGCTGGATTGCACATATTAAAGGGGAGGGGGTTTATGATGTGTGAATGACAGAAGAACGGGCTGCGGGCCCAGGTGTCGCGGTAACATCTGCCCCGCCCCCCCACCTTCCTCTTGGCAGACTCCTCATCGACATGGTGCCAAGGGTGAGGCAGACTCGCCACTACGAGATGTTCGAGTGACCAGTGGAGGCCCGGGCCATCAGCACGAAGAGCCAACAAGGTTTCCACGTAGGCGGACGGTGCCAACACGTAACTGAGTCTCATTTCTGTTCTGGAAGTTTCCTTTCCGTTTGTCCTGCCGGGAGGAGGTCTGTTCATCAGGTCCTCTGCACTACTCCGCCCCCCCCAACACACCCCTGCCCCTGCCATCACACCAGGAAAGCCGCATGAGAGGGGCCGGGGGACCCTGTTCCACACCCCGGCCAGGACAGACAGGCTCTAATTTTCTGGAGTTTAAATGCTCATCTAGCCGATGGGATAAGACCCCGAGTTGGCAGCAAGTTCTCCCGGGGCCCTTGCTGAAGCCTGAGCAGGGCCAAGCCCTCTGGGCTCTGGGGATTGGGCTAGGGGGCTCCTGAGTTCCAGAGTCTCCTCTCTGGGCAGATTTTGGGGGGGAAGACCGCACCCTCTCACCCACCCTCCCCCGAACGGTCAGTAGGTCACTTCCTGATTTCGATCGCCGTAGTCCGTTCATTCCATCCTGTTTCGCTACGCCCAAATCTTTACAGATGTGTTCCCAAGGAGAGCATCCTCTTTTTAAAGTACTTAGTAGGTGACGTATGAGCTTTGCATGGACGAACCGGCACACGGCCCCTTCTTGTACATTCAGAAGCTGAACATAAAATGTGAAAAAACCCAAACAGGATCCATGTTTTGGAGAGACGTGAAGCTGTAGTTGCTTTGTAATAAATACTGCTGTACTCTCGCCGTGTATCGACATGCTCCGTGGGGTGGTTGTGGTATGTGGCAATCCGCCACCAGCGGCTGCTTCCCCTGCGAGGAGCCAGGCATGGTCCCCCCACCCCCATCCCCGACCGTTGTACCAGTACAGAGATTCCCTAAAGCTGTCCCCAGCCCACCAAGCCCTGGCCCTCCAGGCCTGCTGCCCCTCCCTCCATGCAGTGTCCGACCACTGACGACGTGACCTGTGTTTGTATGACGTGGGGACGTGGTCTGTGAGAGTTGTCACCACATGTTACCAGCACGCGGGATCTCTGTCATGGACAGTTCTTGGTGCAGTGGAATTGAGACGGGGGGATCATGCAAGGCTGCTGGGTGGCCTTCGTGACCCGTCTGTAGCCCTGTCCTGGGCACGCTCACTGGGTGACGCTGGCACCTCTGGGAGGCAGACTTCGGTACTGCTTCTGGCTGGTCCAGGAAGATGCTTGCTCTCTGGGGCCACTGAACCTTGGTACCGTCTGATGCTCACTGTGGGAGGTTGCTCTGTTTCATGGAAAGAAGACCGCGTGGACAGCGAGCGTGGGGAATGCAGGCTCCTGTGTGAAGCTCGGGGAGGGAACAAGGCCCCCCTGTATGTGCTCTGCTTCGCTTGGCGTGCTCTTAGGGATTGGTGTTATGCGGAACACCAATGGGGGAGGTGTGGGCTCCTTTCCAGCAGGGGCCAAGTCTGATGACCTCCACTGGCTCCAGTGCCCAGGCCCACACCAGGCGGTCACGCCCCTCAGGGGCACCACGGACTGGACCTTGCAGGCACTCGCCTGCTTATGTGCTCATTACTAGGGTTCGGGGTGGTGCAGACCGTGAACTCAGCCCCCAGAGGTGGAGGTTTGGATTCCCTTAGGGATGCCATGGAAGACAGGCCTGGCAGGTTGTTTCCCCCACAAACTCCATCCTCGCAAACCCGGTGGCACAGTTCTGCTGACACAGGACTGCCAGGAGTCTGGTGGGGCCCGTGGCAACTGGTGACCTCAACCATAGCCCTCCCTGCTGTAGTGGTTAGGCGTTGGGCTGTCATCTACATGGTCAGCAGTTCAAAACCACCATCAGCTCCATGGGAAAAAGACCGGGCTTTCTACTCCAGTAAACAGTTATGGTCTCGGAAACCCACAGGGCATCGCGTGAGCCAACAATAGACTCGATAGCAGCACGTTAGTTTTTTGGGCGGAGTGACACTGACCAATAAGCCTGGTTCAGTTACTTTTTTTTTGAGGGAGGGAAGGGAACCAATTCAAGGTCTGCCTCCCCCCTTTTGATTTTACTGAGGTCTCTGACAATTCTTCTTACAATCCATACATTAATTATATCAGGCATATTTATCTGTACATGTTGCCATCATTCTTTTCTAGATAATTACTCTCGATTGAGCCCTTGGTATCAGCTCCTCCGACCCCCCTCCCCGCCCCATGACCCCTTGATAATTATAAATTATTATTTTCATATCTCACATTGACCTCTGTCTCCCTTCCCCCTGAAGGAGTGTAGTTGTGTGCCGATCATTATGATTGGTTCCCCCTTCTTCCCCTCCCCCCTTTCTCCCTACCAATCTGGTATTGTTCTTCTCGCTCCTGTTCCTGGATTCCGTGTCATGGGCTTCCATCTCTTATCTACACCTGTGTACATGCTCTGGTGTAGTCCAAAGTGAGACGCAGCACTGGGGTGGTCATGGTGGTGGGGGGTGAGGAAGCCTCAAGGAACCAGAGGAATATTGTGTTTCATCGGTGCTTAACCGCACCCTGGTGACTCATCCCTTCTCTGTGACCCCTTTGTGGGGGATGTCCCACTGTCTACAGATGGGCTTTGGGTCTCTGCTCCGACCCCCCTCGTTCTCAATCATATGGGTAGTTTGTTTGTTAAGGGTCTTCTGATGGTCTGGCCCCGTTTTCAACCTATTTCAGTAGGGAGTTTAAGGGGTTTTTTAATCTGCTACAGTGTACACGTGTCTCAGTGCAGGTCCCTGCTGGGTGGCCAGGGCAGAGGAGGTGTTCTGAGGTTAGTTTGGGTGGGGGTGATGGACAGCGGGGCCTAGCCCAAACCACACCCACGGCCACCAAGTTGGCTCTGACTCCAAGTGGCCCTGGATAGGGTTTCTGAGACTGTCAATCTGTATGGAAGCAGAGCGCCTCATCTCTCTCTCAAGGAGGGACTGGTGGGCTTGAACCAGCAACTCTGTGGTTAGTAGTCTAGCGCTTCTCCCAAAGCACCACCAAGCGGTCTCACAAGCAGGAATACTCAACAGTAATCCAAGCCCCCCGCATTTTCAATACTGTGTTATACAGCGTGGCCGTGGCTGGTGGAGGCCTGTCTGTGCTGCTGCTGGACAGCGGCTGTTTGCTCTTTGTGGGACCCTGTCCCACCCACCCATTCACCCACTCACCTCCCCCCAAAAACCACTTCCGCCTGTCACACAAGAAAAGTTTATTGAAAAATAAAGTTCTCCCTGTTCTCTCTACAATGGTGGGAAACAAAGCAGTGCTCTCTAAGCCGGTACAGTACATGTGGACAGAGACACCTTGGCTTGCAGAATCCTGCGCTACTGAACCCCAGAGGCGAACAAGACAGAGGAGATCTGCCCCGAGCTGAAAGACACCGGGGCTGTGACAGCCACCACAGAAGGGGGCCTCCATCCCCGCTGGCCTTGACGGTGACATGTCTGTCCCAGTGGTACTTGAGCAGGGGCAGTGAGACAGAGGCGGCAACAGGTGCCGATGCCCACCCTCGGGCACAGACACCGCCAGCCTGCCTGCGGCCACTCCCCCGGAGCTGCCCCCTCGTTCCTTTCCTTAGCTGCGCCCGCCTCTCAGCTGAAACGTACCTGTGTCGTGCGGGGCCGGTGGGAGGAGACAGTGTTAAGATGCCACCAGTTCTGGGATAAGTGGTGCTTTGAAGAAGGTCAATTCCGATCACCCCCGCCCCGCCCCCCCCAGAGCTGTGTATTCAGAAGACAATTCAAAGGGATTTGAAGGAGACACTGGTCCCCCGCCCCCCCAATATTCCACAACGAAAATAACTATCCAGAATCATACGGATGGGATAGAAGACAAGACGAAGTTTGCCAAGGAAATAAGAGGTCACCATTCCCCCCCGCCCCCCAATACACCAACTAATAAAAGACCAGAAATCAAAGCCACTGCCACCCAGGTGACTCGGCCTCACAGGGAGCCTGCATGGTGACAGAGTGGGCTGCACCTCAGGGTGTCTGAGGCTGTACATCTTTGTGGGGCACACAGCCACATCTCTCTCCCACAAGAGGGACCTGACCGCCCTGGCGGCTGGCAGACCGACACTCATCCCATTACACCACCAGGGCGCGTCCAGCACATCCCGTAACTGAGCGTGAGGAGGTTTGGGGACATCTCCCTAGGAGCTGTTCTGAAGAAGGCAGGGCCCCCGGCTGCACTAGGACAGCACCTCCAGGGGGTCATCTGCAAGCTAGGCATCCCCAGGTTGGACTGGGGCCCAGGAGGGTTTCCTCCAGAGCGGAGTCTGATGGGAACCTCCCTGTGAGAGTGGCCCGGCTTGGGCGGCTGAGCCCCGTGGAATAGCGGAGCCCCACGTGTCTCCGGTACATAGCACACAGAACCAACAGACTGGCTGAAGGGATTCAGTCCGCCAGACAACTCATTTTAAGATCTGGGTCAACATGTTCCTCAGAAGCCCTTGAGCGGTCCAGGAGACAGGACGGGGGTGTGGCCAAGGGCCCCCTGGACTTGTCATCGCTGCACTTGCGTGCTCCCCGACTTGCTGGTGTGGGGCTAAGCCTGAAGTACTGGGTGAGTTGGGGCTACAGCAAGGCAGGGACGGGGGATTCCGACGATACCTCATTCTCCCGGAGTCACACTTTCAAGTCGGTCTGATGTCTGAACAGCAGGGAGTGAGGTCAGCTCATCCCCACGTGTCATGAAATGCTCGTCCCGAGCACATGGGACACTCCGCGGGTTTCCTGCGCACCAGGCCCTGGGATGAACCCTGCGCGCTAAGAACGGAACATCTAATATCTAATTAGGCCTTTTGCTAAAAAATAAGACCTCTACCCAAAACACAAATCAACTCCGTCTGCTCCCTCCCCGTCCTACCCCCACCCCTTTTTGTTGAAGCCAGCGAGAATGAAAAGCGCCCTCGTAGCTTTGGGGAGCCCCTGCCTTCCTCGCTGACCTGGAACAGAGACAATGCCCAGCAGCCTCCTCAGGACGGATGGGGGTTAGGATGAAGCCAATATTCAAATGAGAATACTTTCAATAAATAAAACAATCCAGGCTTGGGCCAGTAACACACACAACAGAGCCTGTCGTTAACAAAATAAACTCTCTCTTTAAATCAAGAATTTCTGGGCATGTAAGTGGGAGGTTCCTAATTATATCTACAATCTAGGTAAACCACCTCAGAAAAACGGGGGGCCTGGCTTGGTCTGGTTCAGCAAAGACACTCTTTCAATCCTGCTCTCGCCAGCGAGCCATGTCCTTCTGGGGTCTCTGCTCCCAAAAGGGGGGGCAGTGATTCACCTCCATGAAACCTCACATCCACTAAGGAAACACAAATTAGGCAGGGGGGGCACAGTCACCCCCCTGGAGATGATGCCAGACAGCCCAAGTGTTTCTGATGAGGCCCAGCTGCTCTGGTGTCTTGTCTGAGCCGCTGCGCCGACCGGGGGGCCACGCCCTGGTCTCTAGGCTGGAGTTGGCCACCGTTCTTTAAACAGCACCCGTTCCGAGAGTCACCCCCAAAGAAAAGAGAAAAGGCACATCAGCGAAACAATAAATATCACCAAAGACACAGAGGACAGCTCTACTAGACACAGTGTACGCAAAACGGGCACGTTATCCAAAGCAGTGACAGGACCACCCATCCAAGGCCATGGCCAAGAGGGTCTCCGTTTGTACATGTGCAAATCAAACTGCATACACGAGGGGGGAAAAATGAGGGGTTTACTGGTATTGAAGAAGTGTTTCTCCGTGTTACCTTTCCAAGGTAGGCATTCTCTTTGAGTAAGTTACATCAATGTTTTCCTGCAGGATTTGTTTTGTAAGAGCTTAGGGTCACCTTGGGGAAGAAGATAGCCAAATTTCACTTAGGGAAAAACAAACCAAAACGAAACCTGAAAAGACCAAGAAAGATATGTGTATAGCCGAGAGAAGATTGAGCCCCCCTGAAGACATCTCTCCCCTTGGGTCCGTCATCGATTTAGGGTTCTAACAACACGGGCGCAGCAAGATGGCTGCAGGCTCCCGGCTCCCCTCAAGGCCGTTGGGGCTTAGTCTTCTCCCAGATTAAGCCGAGGGGAGGGATATTCCTCCCCCAGCACTGTCTAAATCTAGCCCAGTCTGAGGAGGCCCGGAGCCTGGATTCCCTCCAGGATAGTACCCCTAACAATGCAGTGTGGGTGGGTCTGCCCCAGAGCAGCAGCCCCAGCAGCCCACTGCCAGGGCCGGAGGCAGGAAGAGGATTCAATTACTGGGGTAGACCATGGGGAAGGGGCCCTTGGGTCCTGACTCCCAGAAGGGGCAGGGGAGCTGAGAAGTCAGGATGGCCTGTTGGTCCCAGAGCTCAGAGAGAGCTCACACACCATTCTGAGAGCTTCGAGTACAAAGGGCAGGCACACATTCTTTTCACAGCACTTGGCTCCCCAGCCCCCTTTCTTACTTAGTCCCTGAGCTGCTCGCAACAGCTCTCTGCTCAGATGCAGTAACCCAGCCTCGCCTGGGAAATCAGGTGGGGCCCACTGGCTCCCCCTGCCGGTCGCATGCCAGTACTGCCATCTTCAGTGTCTGACGTTCTAGAAAGGGCCCGGGAGGGGGCAGCAGCAGCCAGGGGATAACAGGCCCAGGGGAACCAGAGCTGCAAATTCCCACACCCAGGGCTCAGCCAAGGAAAAAGCGCTTCCTAAGGGCAAAGTTGCCCATTGTTTCTCTTCCCAGAAAGTGCCCTCGCAATGTTATACGAACACATGCACCCAAATGGCCAGGCAGGCATGCACCTCTCAACCAAGGCTTCCTTGGGCATCTACCCTGCTCATTGCTGGGCCAAGGCCGAGACAGTTCTCAGATGGGGCCCTGTACCTCTAAGCCACCCATCAGTGTTCTCCATGGCAGATGTGCTCAGGAACCACCCTTCCCAGGCTTCTAGAACTGGAGGTACAATTCAGACCCCTGAACAGTGTGATTTCCATCTTGGGGCAAAGCCCACCATTCCTGACTTGGAGGCTGGTCCCCCTGAAGCCACGTCATTCCTTCTCTCCCTGGCTGGCTGGGCCCCACTGGCCTCAGCCCCAGGACCAGAGCTGTCAAGTGCTCCCAGGACAATGTAGGCCTTGCCCAGTGGCAACCTCCAGTTGAGACCCCAATTGGCTAGCGTCCTGACAACGCTCAGAGCTGCCCTGGGAGGGGCCGGGTTCTGCCCAGACAAGGCACTCAAAACCACAGTGCAGGTCACAAGGACCGCTGACAAGGGGGCATCAGCCAGAGTGCGGAGGGGCGCGGCATGCGTACCGAGTGGACCCCGGTCACCCGAAGCCCCTAGAGGCCCCAAGGTAACTAGCTAGCAGCTCTTCTGTCCTGCCTATTCACCTTCTTGTGGCATCAGGAGAGGGTGGATTTAGCACAATCTACTTAGCGGGTTCCCAGAGCCTGTGTCTCCTTTCCAGGGGGGCTCTAAGCAGAGGGGAGGGCTGGGGGTAGGGAGGGGAACCCAGGGGCTCTAAGCAAGAGGGGTGGACTGGGGGCCTGAGTGGAGGGGCCAGTGACCCCATCCCGGTTTCGGTCCCTGGCTGTCCCCACGATGCCTTGGGGTGTTTGACTTTGTTTTGAAAGCAAGTGTTAGCCTTGAGGAGTTAGATTCTCCCTGAGGAACCAGGGTGCACCAGCCCCAGAGCTCACTGTGCCCGCTTCCTCTGCCCCCTGCCCTGGCAGACAGGGCCAGTGCCTGGCGGTGGGGCATCGAAGAAGAAACAAGACTTGTGATCGGCCCTTCTCCTCCCTCCCCAAGGCCCCTTCCCTCCCACCCAAATAAATAAATTAATGGGTTCAGGAATGCTCCCCCAGGAAGTTCTTCCAACCTGCGCCTTTCTCCCTGTAGCTGCTGCTATTTTCCAATCGAGTCCCCAGAGTTCCCTTGTCTCCAGGGGCAGCCCCCCTGACACGGTCCCTGCAGTTGTTCCTCAGGAAAGGTCAACCCGCTGCGGCCGGCTCCCGGGCTGGCGTCCGTGGAAGCGCCTCGGCTGTGGTGGTCTGAGGACCGCAGGAGCTGTGCCCACCCGAGACCCTCCACCACACAGATCAGGGCTGGCGAGGCCCTGAAGGTCGCCTGCCAGCCCCTTGGCCACTGTCCTCCCCAGCAGCACTGGTCCGGGCCCTTGGCCACTATAGGCAGTCTCCACAGAGCGCCACCTGGCCCTTGATGAAGTCCCGGCACGGGCAGATCCTCTGGTGTTTGGGGTGGGCGCCGGCGCAGCTGAAGAGCAGCAGGTCCCCTTGAAACACACAGTGCTTGCTCTTGGGGTCAAAGGAGGGCACCAGGATGTCCTTGGCCAGCTCGGAGCTTTGGCAGATCACCTTGTACCTACAGAGGGAGAGAAGGACATGTGGGCTGGAGACACCTTGACCTTCCTCAGGGGCAGGGGCACGCAAAGCAAGGTCCTCCTGCTTTCGAAATGGAATGGAGCTCGCGCGCTGGCCCAACAATGCCCCGACTCAGGGAATTGGCACCAAGGTGGGGTGTGGGTGAGGCCTATGTGCCAGACAAGCCGGGGGGATCACTCACTGTGCGCGGTCGGTCCCAGTGAGAAAGCCGGCGCTTTCCCAGTGCTTACTCACCACGCAGGGGAGGACGCACATCTGTGGCATTTGGTGCTGTCACAGAACCAGAGAGGATGTGGT